AGCTAATTACTTATAAGTATCTCTATGCCACCATAGTAGCTCACAAGCACACACTTTCATAAGATATTTAGCAGTTTATATTTACTAAAATAATTGCATTTCCATGTTCTATGTACTGTGGGAGACCAGATATAGTGAATGCAGGGTCCTGGGAGAACAGATATAGTGAATGCAGGGTCCTGGGTTTAGTAACACTTTCAGTGTTATCCTAATCTGGTGATGTTCACTCTACTGATTAAGGGTGTGTTAGGCCTGGCTCACACCAATGCATTTTTTAGTGCTTTTTCCAGAAACACACTACAGTTTATTTAACACATTTACATCTATGCTTTTTTGAACCACTACATTTTTTGGAAAGTGTCAGGGAATTTTTTTTGGTTCAAAAGACTTCAATGGAGGTAAGTGCCAAAAATGTGCTGCGCTCCACTTTTAAACGATATTAACAATTGCTGTCTACCACTTATATATGCATGTGCTCCTTTTATCAATAAGTGCAATAAAAGATATTACATAAATGAGTGCTGTGAACATCCACTGTGAAAATCAGTGTCCATAAGCATAACACACAAAAATGTCCATATAAAAACCCTTGGGGAGGGGCTTTGACGTCACGGCGCTCCATGGTTCCATACTGACATCAACTGGTACACATAGTATTTTCACCACTGCCAAAACCTCAGTAGGATATAATTTTTGCACAATCTTTATTCAGATATCATGTGAGTGTACTACTTTTCATTAATAAAATGTTATTTAAGGGTAATACACTATGATCTGATTATTTTTTATACTAATCATCGTGGGAGGAGAGCCAATTGGTGAAGTGAAAAGGATCCCATTCAGCAGGACACCACTCCATTCACATTTGGTACAATTAAAGGGACACAAGCGTTATTATTATTATTATTATTATTATTATAATAGAGTATTTATATAGCGCCAAAGGGTTTGCTCAGCGCTGTACATTAGAATGGGGGACAAGACATGAGACAATACAGTAGCAAAACAATACACGATACACGAGGGTTAGAGGGCCCTGCCCTTTCGAGCTTACAGTCTAGGAGGGAGGGGATGGTGATACAGGAGGAGATGGCAGTGGGGGATGGAATGGAGTGAGGAGTGGAGGGGATCGGCTGTTAGGTGAGGGTGGGGTAGGCTTCCCTGAAGAGATGGGTTTTCAGGGTGCGCTTAAAGGTGAGGAGGGTAGGGGACAAACTGATGGTTTGGGGAAGTGAGTTCCAGAGGATGGGGGAAGCTCTGGAGAAGTCCTGCAGTCAGGCGTGGGAGGAGGAGATCAGGGAGCTAGAGAGTAGGAGGTCTTGCGAGGAGCGAAGATTACGGGTAGGGTGGTATTTGGGTATCAGGTCGGTGAGGTTTGGGGCATAGCTTGTGTTGGGGTAGGCTGGTGAGAAGGGAGTTGCAGTAGTCCAGGCGTGAGATAATAAGGGAGTGAACGAGTTGTTTAGTAGTGTCTGGGGTTAGTAACGACATCACTTAACGGTTTGGTCATATATTTGAGGTGAGAGCACAACCGGTGGGGGTGCACAGATTTTAATGATAAGAAGCACAGAATATTATATGCCAAGTGATCACAAATTTTTTGAAGAAGCATATATAGACATTATTGTGTGTTATGCTTATGGACACTGATTTTTACAGTGGATGTTCACAGCACTCATTCATTTAATATATTTTATTGCATTTATTTATAAAAGGAGCACCTGCATATATAGGTGGTATACAGCAATTGTTATAATCATTTAAAAGTGGAGCGCAGCACATTTTTAGCATTTGTTACTGATTAATCACACTGGTTTGAGTATGTGTTAGGTGCAGGTGATCCATTAATTAATAATTGTATTTTGTCGAGATTTTTAGCAGCTCACAAGTTTTTATTTTATACTTCAATTGAGATGCTGCAGAAAACGCATGTAGTGCGTTTTTGATGCATTTCTGATGTGTTTTGTGTTTTTATTCTGCTCACCAACAAGTTTGTCCCCAAAAAAACACAACACACATCACAAAATGCATCAAAAACACACATGAAAAATGCACCACAAAAAGCACTGCTAAACGGACAAAATGCAAACTGCATTGGTGTGAACCAGGCCTTAGAGTGGTAAAAGGCAGTAGACTAACTATTTGGGAAAGAAACCCCTTTCAGGGGACTTCTCAAACAAGTGGCTCCTTACGACTTGATTATTCATAGCTTGACCACAGGCCGGTACTTCTGATGTCCTGCACCCTTTTTATAGCAACTTCATTCCTACATAGATGGACTTCAGCAATGGTTGCATGGCATTCTCAATGCAGGTTTCCCGATGATGACAGCAGTAGACTATGCCTGCATTGTGTGTTAAATTACCCACTTGTAGTCTCCATCGAAAACTATGTGACAAGGTTACAACCCAGGAGCATATTTGGGAGACAGGGACAGAATGTTGTCACCATACAACAGTAGGTCCCTGAACAAGAACCTTTAAGGTAGAATTACCATGTATTATTTTAATGAAAGCTGCAGATATAAAATTTTCAAAAAAGACATTTTGAAATTACATTAACATGTAGCTTATATGAAATTTTAATGTTGGAATTACATATACTGTAATAATACAATGTAATGAGTAGGCATCAAATTACACATACAGCATACATGGGACTAATGCATTAAAATAGCGTCATACTTTCATATAAAAAAAATAAAAAAGAATTCTGATTGTTGTCCGTCAGTACAAACTCCAATTTTTTTCTCTATTTTTATCAGCCCCACATATTTTCCTAAGCCTCAAAGGATAAGTTCACTTTAAAAATAAATAAATAAATGCACATTTTCTTTTCTTGGTAAAAATATGTGCATTTACAATTTTTTTTTGCAGAAACCTGCCTCTCACTCCATCTTCCACCCAAATTCTCCTGCTGTTGAGCAGGCTCGGTCACACTCAAGATCAGCAGATCGTGGGTGTCATGCAGGACTCCTACAGATTGTCAGTGTAAGCTGTCTGCACGTACATTGTTTCACACTGACAGAAAGAATTAATGAACTACCAGAACACTCAACAGCACCATGGTAGTTCATTGAGAACAACAAACTGACAGCTGCAAAGGCTGTCAGTACCTGTAGTTTCCCATTCACAGAACTCTGTGAATGCATGACCTTGCCGAGCGGACAGGTGACAGATAGCGGGGGAGAAGATCCCCGCTAGCTGTCACAATGGGGGATTAGGGGGGTGCAGGAGCTCTCAATATGGTTGTAATATGTAATATGTTTTTGTTTTTTTTTATTAGGGGGTATTGAACTTGGATGGGGTTGAGGGGTGCATAGGATACCCAAGGAACAGTAAACTGAGAACAACTCCTTAATAACTATGTACTGTAAGTCCAAAGACAGAAAATTCTCTTTTGGAGAGCCCTCCAGCCTCCCCTAGCCTACCACCGCAGACCCCAGATGAACCCTCTCCTCATCCAGCTGTACTGGGTGAATCCCTGGGCAAGGGGACCCGGGATTTGTCTTTATAAATCAATCAGTTCCAGATAGGGGCTAGTACGGTTTCCCACCCAAATTCCTTTTCCCCTTATCTGGCCCAGGGGGTATAGGACTACTTTCCCTCTCCTGCGAGCATACTGGGTTGTTGGCTGCCTTCAGGCCTTCCGCTGTGCTGGCTCCTTCCCTGCTGCAGAGGTGGTCCTCTCTCAGGGGACTGCTGAGGTTGAGAGATCCTCCTTTCAACTTCAGCCTGGAGGTAGGCCCCTTCCCAGTGGGCCCCCTCCCAGGCTCCTGCATCCCAGCCTCTCACTCCATCTTCCACCCAAACTCTCCTGCTGTTGAGCAGGCTCGGTCACACTCAAGATCAGCAGATCGTGGGTGTCATGCAGGACTCCTACAGATTGTCAGTGTAAGCTGTCTGCACGTACATTGTTTCACACTGACAGAAAGAATTAATGAACTACCAGAACACTCAACAGCACCATGGTAGTTCATTGAGAACAACAAACTGACAGCTGCAAAGGCTGTCAGTACCTGTAGTTTCCCATTCACAGAACTCTGTGAATGCATGACCTTGCCGAGCGGACAGGTGACAGATAGCGGGGGAGAAGATCCCCGCTAGCTGTCACAATGGGGGATTAGGGGGTGCAGGAGCTCTCAATATGGTTGTAATATGTAGTATGTTACGAAAGATGAAATTATCCTTTAGGTCAGCCATACACGGATAGAAAATTGTCCGGTTCAACAGGGACTGGCCAAATGTCGCTCCATGTGTAACAGTACCCCTTTAAGAGTCGCAAAGTTTTTTGGTTCCCATATAGTCTTGCACAGCCAGGCAACAAGCATTTTCTTCACACCTTGTACACAGGAAACAGCAAACAGTCCTTGAGTTTTTTTTATTTTTTATTAGGGGGTATTGAACTTGGATGGGGTTGAGGGGTGCATAGGATACCCAAGGAACAGTAAGGGCTGTCCTGAGCCCATGCCAAGCCTCCTGCCTGGGGATTGGTAAGGATTCCTTAAGTAAGCAGATCAACCCCTCCTCACCCCACCTACTGTCTTCTAGAAACTTCTCAGGTCTCTAGAGCAGGGGGAGGTATCAGGGAATTGATCTGCAGAGCCCTCAGGCCTGACCTAAGATGACCTGACTGACTCACACTCAGCCTTGCTCCCTAAAAAAAAACTAGCCAGCTCCCCTGGTTAACTAGAGGGGCGTTAAACATGTATGTGCAGGATGGTTGTACATAAGTCGATCTACCTATCTACCCTGTCAGGTTTTTCCTGATCAATCAGTGCCACCTGCTATAGCCAGCAGCACTAATCAATGTATTCAGATAGTCAGGAAGTACTCCCACTGCCAGAATACAATACCTCAGCTGGAGTGATTCCCCCATCCACATACACTCAATGTCAGGGAATAGGGTCATTTTTTTTTCATTCAATCTGCTGGTTGAACAAAAAACTGGTTAATGTATGGCCTGCCTTATTTTAAACAGTAATTATCTGTATTTCAGCTATGCCACTTTGTATCTTCTTAGGTAAATATGTTTACCTTTCCACTAGAATCAAAGGTAATCTTGTGGTCAGACCATATACTCCAGTGTCATGTGATGAAGCAGGCTATGTTGACTTCATAGTAAAGGTAAAGTCATACATAATCATGAATTAATTGTATTAACATGTACCAACAATGGTTTCCATATATTGTAAATGATGTTTAGAATTATTGATATGTCAACATGCATTAGTGTATGTATACAATAAATAACATTAGGCATTGTTCACACTGGGTGTTATGTGGGAGCACATGCAAAATCGTGCATTTTCCAGCACCATCCGAAAACACACTGTCTTCTGCAGATACGTGTAAGTGCCATTAATTCTTATGGAACCCCCCCCCCCCACACACACACACACACACACACACATCTGACAAACATGCATGCATTCACTCCCGCCAAAACGCATGGTACCACAGGTTTAAAAAATCAAGCCTGCACTATTTTTACGTGTTTCATATGCATAGGGCAGCCTATTTAATATTAATGGGCTGCCTTAAAATGCAATGTGCAAAACATGTGGGAACATACAATAAAACCACGCATGCTCAAATGCACCTCATGGTGTGAACGGGCCCTTAAGCCTATGAAAATGTGCAAAGCTTAAGGCTTCATGTACACAAGCAGCTCTAAACTCGAGTTTATGAGCTTTTTGCATTTTTTTGCCAAAGCTCCTAAACTCAACGCAATAAAAGCCTTTGTGTCCATGTACACATAGGCTTTTACCAGAGTTTAGGAGCTGCTGCATTTTAGGTGAGGTTAAACCTCCCTCTCCTGAACATAGAATAATTGTGTTCAGGATAGGAACGTTTTGACCGCTGACCATGGGAAAATGCAAAACGCTGCAAAAACGCAGCAAAACACGGCAACCATGGTGCCACGTTTTTGCTGCGATTTGCTGTTTCCCACAGCCGGCGGTCAGGGTAGGCTCGTGTACATGAAGCCTAACTCCAATTGTGAACTTCTAAATGATCCAAATGATTTGCAAATCTGTTGAGCAAGTCCAATTATCCTACAAACCAGCCTTTCTCAACCAGGGTGCAAGTTGCACCCTGGGGTGCTTTGAGGTTTCTTCAGGGATGCCTTGGCAAAATGTCTAAAAATTGCCCAAAACATGTAAACAAACCAGCAGGTGGAACATGCCTGCCTTTTAGTTACACAAACTTACAAGTTTTCATTGTGCACCATTGCGACCTTCTAGCCACCGGTGTCCTGACAATCAATGACATCATTAGTTGATAAGGAGGATGTCGTTTGCCTGCACAGCATCCTAGTTTGACGCTCTCCATCAGTGCTGGGGTCACATTAGCTCAGAGATGGAGAAAAACTGAGGGAGAAGAGAAACATTGGAATACTAGTCAGTACCAGTGTGCAAAAGTGTATTTGCTTTGGAAGAATAAATTACCTCTAATGTTGGGTGTCCTACATGTGTGGATGTTGCTGCATTATACAAACCTATTAGAATAGGTTTTCACATTTTAGAATGGGGTACCCTTTTAAAATTATGGACAGTCTTGAGGCACCCCATTTTAGAATGGGGTGCCTCAAGACTGTCAATAATTTTAAAGGGTGCCTCAGGACTGTCTATAATTTCAAAGGGTGCCTTGACTGACAAAAGGTTGAGAAACACTGCTACTGTATAAACCCTGCTAGACAGCACGGGGTTTATTTACTAAAGCTGGAGAGTCCAAAATCAGACTCCCTTCTGCATAGAAACCAATCAGCTTCTAACCTCAGCTTGTTCAATGAAGCTTTGGCAATGAAACCTGTAAGCTGATTGGTTTCTATGCAGAAGTGAGTCTGATTTTGCACTCTCCAGCTTTAGTAAATAAACCCTCACAAGTCCAGACAGACATCCATCAAAAAAGAAATACCTGTCAGAAGTTCAGCAGGAGATCATAGTTACCTTGTCTCATAAGTAAAATGTATAGTATAAAAGTGAGCACATACTTGTGAAGAAAGCTGAATACCTACTTTTCCTTCTGTACGGTGCACTAAACTCTACTCAGTTGCTGAGAAATGGTCCCTTAAAGTCCTTTGGGACAAGTAAAGCATCACTTTACTTCTAAGTACTATACTGATGTGGAGTCAGTAGGAAGAACCAGCTGCGAGGGACCCAAAAACTGAACCATGCCTGATATGTCTGTTTTCCTGTAGACTTCAATAGAAGATTTCTACTAAATAGAACAACATTCATTTTGCTTACCATTAAGCTTAGCTAAAAGAAAAATTATTCCCTACAATTTTAGTCACATCACTTACCTGTAACAAAGGGGTTGATTTACTAAAGGAAAATAGACTGTGCACTTTGATAGTGCAGTTGCACTCTGCACATGCAGTTGCTCCAGAGCTTAGTAAATTAGGTAAAGAGTCACTTTGCAAAGAATACCCAATCACATGCAAAAAAAATGTAAAAAAAACTGCATTTTTGCTTGCACATGATTGGATGATGGAAGTTAGCAGAGCTTCTGCTCATTTACTATGCTCTGGAGCAACTGCTCTTGTAGAGTACAACTGCACTTTGCAAAGTGCACAGTCTATTTGTCTTTAGTAAATCAACCCCAAAGCATATGTCAAGATGTACAGGCAGCTGGCGCCTCAAGAAATCTTCACTGCAGGGATATTCAGGCTTCTTTCTGTCTTGGAACTTTCAGCGCTGCAATGGGTAACAGCTTTGGGCCTTCAAGAGGAACAGCAGTACAGATGGTCAGGCAGGTAAACTCCTCCTTTCTCCTCCATTGGGAAAAAATCTTTCATTGATTACACTGCTTGTAACATGATCTGTGAATGGGGAGAGAATATGGTGACTGATTGGTCTCTCCACCATTCACAGATCAGGCAATGTAATCAAAGAAAAAACTTTTCTCAAGGAAGGAGGGGGAATGTCCCCGTCGTACCATCTGCTTTGGAAAAGTGGTGCATGCGATACTTTTGGTGCTGTCCAATGTGATTTCAGCCCATTCAAATGAGTGGGCTGAAAATCACACCGCACCACACTGCAGATCATGTTCCTGTGCAATTTAGGTGTGAATCTGCCCTTACAAAAAGGGCATTATTATTCAATGGTACTTAATGATTAAAAAGAAATGCTGCATAAAAGTAAATTATTGCAGAATTATGAATACAGAGTATTTTTATTTTAAAGATCTATTTTCAAGATGAACATCCTGACTTTCCTGAAGGAGGTAAAATGTCCCAATATCTAGAGAATCTCTCCATAAGGGACAGCATTGAAGTTCAAGGTCCCAGAGGACTTCTTGAATATGAAGGAAAAGGTATGGGACGCATGATACAAAGATAGATAGATAGATAGATAGATAGATATGATCTAAAGCACCCTCCATGTTGAGGGCATTTGGCCTGGTATGGTTCAGGAGGGGGGTGCTCGCTCGTGCCCCCCCCCCCCCTTTTCTAACCTGCTGGGCTGCATGCTCAGATAAGTCTGGTCTGGTATGGATTTTGGGGGGGACCTCATGCCATTTTGTTTTTTTTAAATGTTGGTGTGGGGGTTCCCCTCAAAATCCCTACTACCCCTGAAGGGCTTGGTATGGATGGAGGGGGGCCCCACATCATTTTTTAAAATTATTATTATTAATTTAATTGCCGGCAATTCTTTCTTTTACATTCAGCTGTCATTGGGGAACCCTGCTGACAGCTGAAATATTAACGCATAGTTTTCACTACTAAAATACCACATGACTTGATAAAATAACTCATGTGGTATTTTAGTAGCATTTTTTAGTGAATTCAAAGGGTTTTTTTTTTTAATGCTATATGGTATCCTACCACATACCGGATGCAATAAGATACCGCCCACTTAGTGAATTGTATCCATTATCCCTAAACAGAGTAAAGTGTAGAGAAATGGCAGCAAATGTTACCATTGTCTGTTTTCCTAAGGGCTTATTCACATGTGCATTAATACCGTGTGTTTATGTGGCATTTATTCAGAATTTTAAAGCATCATAACCACCCTTCAGTGCTTGCCATGAATATTAAAATGTCACACACAGCCACACAATGCTGTTCACATAGGAGCGGTAGTGTTAAAAATTAAAGGATAAGATCACCTTTGGGAACATGTTGCATGTTCCCATAGCTACAGCTGCACCCGCCGTCCCCCTGCCCACACGGCCACATCATTCATTCCTGGACTTCCGCTACCACTTCAGACTTACACAGGAGGTCTGGAGCTAGAATTACTGCCCTTGATCTGATGTTTGCGGTAATACCTCACATGCATGTTGCAATCTCTGTTTACATACTGCCACCAGCCAGCTGAAAAAAATTATACCAGGATGATGCCTGTAGCTGCACGCATCATCCAGCTATAACTACTCAAAGTCCCGCGATATACCAGTATGTTGCTGGTGCTTTTTGGGCATATATGTAACAGCAGAGAACATGGGCACATGATAAATGGGGTCTGTGGACCAATATGATCGCAATTTATTCTTTTTTGTAATGCCCATGTTGATTTCAGGCCCAAAAAAGTTTTATATTCGATAGGTTTCCATGCGAATTGTCTGGCAAGAGCAGCATTTGGGTGGGTGACGATGTATTATGCGTATACATTTTTTGACTCACAATCACTTCATACAAATCTTCAGTGAGAAAACAGTGAAGAGGATAAACGCTAGTGCTGGTAGCAAACGGGGCTGATCCTGCTAACACTGCATTTTGGGGAATACTATACTAAGGATGCACTAGTATAGTTCTGTTCGTGATCAATATATTGATCCATCAGGCAAAAAAATCTGCGAGCGCTCAGGAAACCAATTGCGCAAGCCGCATATGCACTGAAAAAAGGAACCCTAAAGCCTTGCAAATAATCAGAAAAAACAGTGCAGCGCTATATTATTAGACAGTGTAAGTTGGAATAAATAATATAAATAAATATAGAATAATAATCAATGAAATTACTAGATCATTATTCAATCAATCAATCATTATTATTAGATAGTGATCAATATAAGTGAATGAAGCGCTATGATGGGCGCCAAAAAATTCTGTGAAACTGTGAAAAGTCTTATAACAAAAAAGTGTTCATGAAATAGTGAAGGCTTGACGATCCATACCAGGGGCGAACTGACAACTTATGGGGCCCCCGGGCAATAGGGGATCATGGGGCCCCTGTGTCCTTGCCCAAACTCAAAAAAGCCTATGAAAAAGGTACCAGGGGCATCTCATGGGGCCCCCTACTGAACCCCAGGCCTTGGGCAGTGCCCGAGTTTCCAAATGGTCAGTCCACCCCTGATCCATACAAACACTATACTAGTAATGGCGGTGATCAGCGACCTATAGCGTGAGTGCAATAATAGTGTGCGGGCAATCTAACACCTGACGTTAACTGTTGTCGCTAGTGGCAGTAATACAGTGATCAGTGAAAAATTCTATATACTGACACTGTACTAATGGTACTAGCTGGGTTATGGGGTGATCAAAGGGTTAATAAGGGCGATCAAAGGGTTAAATGTGCTTAACGCATGTGTGTAAAATGTAGTTTTACTCAGTGCCGTGTTCTCTGCATAGGGGGCAGTGGGGGGCACACGCAAACCCTGAAATAGAAAGTAACATAGGGGTACATCAAATAAAATAAGCAAAGTGCAGTGGGACAAGTAAGAAGTTCGATCTCCAAAGTTCGATCGAAAATCGATCTAAACACACACATAAATGTTCATAGGATCAAGCAAATGATAAGTGAACACAGCTGAAATCGGATCCGGGAAATGTCAAGAATGCGCACTCACTGACCGCACATAGGGAATGCGCGTTTTATTATGTATCCAACATGAGTACCGATATCCCACAGGGAGAGATGTCCTCAAACGATCTGCTGGTCTAATATGGTCTCCTTAGTTTGGAATGGATCACTCACGGCAACTTCACAATTGTGTGAATTCTGGTGGTTGATCAAACTCAATGTTCATTAGTTTCAGATGACTATTTGCGATCGTATGTGCGATTCCACAGAATGGTTTGGTAGCTCCCCAGGCTGTCCTGCACAGCAAACTGGTTCCAGGTTGAGTTTGTGAATTGTGAAGTTGCCGTGAGTGATCCATTCCAAACTAAGGAGACCATATTAGCCCAGCAGATCGTTTGAGGACATCTCTCCCTGTGGGATATCGGTACTTTTTGATTGGATACATAATAAAACGCGCATTCCCTATGTGTGGTCGGTGAGTGTGCATTCTTGCCATTTCCCGGATCCGATTTCAGCTGTGTTCACTTATCATTTGCTTGATCCTATGAACATTTATGTGTGTGTTTAGATCGATTTTCGATCGAACTTTGGAGATCGAACTTCTTAAATTGTCCTTTTAGAGCTGCACTTTGCTTATTTTATTTTATTTATACCAAAGGTGATTGTGATCATCTTTAGTGCTATTAGCTGCTCACTTGAATTTCTATTAGTAGCACTCACTTTTTCTGTATATTATAAGGGTACATCACTTTGCCCAGAGACGCCACTTGCCAATCACATGATCACCAGGTCAGCATTACGCTGTGCCTGGTGGACATAGCGAACGTGGGGGAAGAACCTTGTGTGCCCGTTCAGGCATGCAGCACCCCCCTGTGTTGGTACAGCCCCAGCAATGTACGGGTATGTCACTGGTCCTGTAGCTGCCACCCGTTCACAGTCCATTGCAGAAAGTCGTTAAAAGATAAGTTCACTTCATTAAAAAAATTATAAATGCACGTTTTTTAGCAGGTAACAAAAAAATGTGCATTTATTATTTTTTTAGTTTGGGAGCCTGTAAAACATTCCAGGATATTGAGGGTGCAATGTCTTGCAAACTGTCAGTACACTGCCTGTCTGTACCTCTGATATGGGCAGGCAGTTACTGAAGTCCACAGGTGCTCACAAGCGCCCTTGAAGTTCATTGAGAGCTAGAAGCCATCAGCAGAAAACCTGATGGTACTTGTAGGCATTCATTCATAGAAAATTGTAAATTAATGTTGCAGCCCCCGGAGCCCTGCACAGCCACGTTATTTAACCGCTTCCATACCGGGCACTTTTACCCCCTTCCTGCCCAGTCCATTTTTCAAGTTTCAGCGCTCTCACGCTTTCAATAACAATTGCGCTATCATGCAACACTGTACCCAAACTAAAATGTTATAATTTTTATAATTTTCTTCACACAACTAGAGCTTTCTTTTGGTGGCATTAGGTTTTTATTTTTTGCTAAATTCACAAAAAAGACTGAAAATTTTGGGGAAAAAAAAAAACATTTTTCTTTGTTTCTGTTATAAAAGTTTGCAAATAAATAATTGTTCTTCATAAATTTAGGCCAAGATGGATTCTACTATATGTCTTTGGTGAAAATAACCCAAATTAGGATGTATTATTTAGTTTGTAGGAAAGTTATAGAGTACACAAACTGGCAGCCAACCTAATTTCTTGAGGTCCAAGAATGTCAGAACAGTACAGATATCCCCCAAATGACCCCTTTTTGCAAAGTAGACAGTCCGACGTATTTCATAAGAGGCATGGCGAGATTTTTTAAGTTGTAATTTTTTTGTCATAATTTTTCGGAAAATTTTTTTTCAAAAAATTATTAAAAAAAAGTATTTTCACTATTTTTTTTTACATACTGTCACCAGTGCAGTACAGCATAATTTTTCGGAAAATTCATCATATAACTGGCATGGCGGTGATCAGGGACACTGACTAGTGACAGTACGAAAAAAAAAAAAATTATAATTTAAAAAAAAAAAAAATTAAGTTTTTTATTAGTTTTAATTTTTTATTAAATTTGTTTTCTCATATTTCACTATGACCAAAGTAGTATAATGTTACCATAGTAACCAAATGATATTCTTATGTGGGAAAAGCAAGAGTAGCTAAGTGATCTTCATCCAGGAAGGAAAAAAGTTACCAGATACAGTATATATTGCAGATATATTGACAATTCATGGGGCCCCCAGGCAATAGGGGATCAGGGGGCCCCTGTGTCCTTGCCCAAACTCAAAAAAGCCTATGAAAGAGGTACCAGGGGCATCTCATGGGGCCTCTACTGACCCCAGGCAGTGCCCAAGTTTCCAAATGGTATGTCTGCCCCTGGATATATGTGATCTCTAACTTTGCATGTGTAAAACCCTCCTAGGTTGCTAGAGTAGGTAAATTTAGTTTGGCATCTCTGTAGCCAGAAGAGCAGAGGTTAATTGTTTAGTGAAGCTTTGCAGGGCTTCATTGGCTGTGGCCAGGTTACCTCCCCCTGTCTTCTAGAACTTTCTGTAAAGCTCCAGAACAGGGGTGTCAAACTGACAGCCCTCCAGTCCTATCATGTCTTTGGGAGTCATGCTTGCAACTGTTAATCCTGCAATGCCTCATGGGACTTGTTTGGCAACAGCTGGAGGGCCAACAGTTTGACACCCGTGCTCTAGAATCTAGTAAGTGGAGGAACAGAGGTTGCAGATGAATATTCATGGAGTTTCCACCAATCCCTGAGGAGGAAGGACACAGAGGGGTAGTTACAGTCCATAAATTCCCAGAAGCCTGGCAGTCTGGTGAGCAGAGACTGGGGTGCCGTTGCCTGGAGGGGCCCCCTGTGTCAAGGAGGCTCTGCTCCTGAAGGGGCGGAAGTAAGAAGAAGAGAAGCAAGAGAGAGAGAGGGAAGGAGGAAAGGTCATAGGACTTCACTCAGCGTTTGTTCCAGCTAGATAAAAAAGCATGAGTAAATGAATGCTGAAACACCTGCGCTGGACGATGAGCTCCACAATGTCAATGACCCCACATGGAGTACTTTTTGAGAATGCAAGCCTTGCTGCCCTCAATGGACAAGGGAAATCCAAAGAAGCGGTGTGCAAAGAAACAAACAGAGGGCACACGGGCCTAGTGCATTACCTTCTAAAAATGAGATTTATTGAATAAAAAGTAGTATACTTAGTAAAATCAAAGGCACATCACAAAAAAGACAGCATGGTCCAATCTCCCTAGATGGTGGCTGTTGGGGACTGTAGGCCTCCAAATGGCTGACGCGTTTCCCTTGCAGCAACTCTCTGGATTCTAGGAGCTCCTTAAGGGGACTGAGTGAGTATCTTTCAATCAACATACCCTTACTTTACAGAGGACTGTGTAGTGTAAGACCACACATTTCCAGAAACCTAGACGCATAGCCAAATGCAGTGCAAGACAGCCAGGAGCACCCCATATTATCTTTAGCCTGGGTCAAGAGCAGCCAGGTGCAGTGCAATACCACCAGGAGCTGTGTCTACAACTTGATCTTTTGGAAGTTTTGTTCATACACATGCTGTGACATCATTGCTACTGATGTGCAGCTCATTTTGAATCAGCCAAAAGCAGCCAGAGGCTTTAGTTTGTCCTCAACCAATTTTACAAAATTTCATCTACCTCTTCTGTACCCCTGATCCCTATCCAAGTTCTGCAAAATTAAAAAAAAAAAATAAAACAAATACTACAGACTGTTCATTGAGCCCGTGAAGTGAAAGTGGAACATTCCTGTTGCCTGGCTGTGGGTGCTGTGTGAGGGGGAGGGGAGCTTGAAATCCAGAAGACCCTTGCAGGGCTAGTGCTACAGATGAATGTTATTTTAATTTAAAGTTTAGTGAATAAAGGACTAATACTAATTTTGTATTATGTACAAGCATATTCATTGATTCTGCCACTCTTTTTGTCATTAGGTTATTTTGCCATTCAGCCAAATAGGAGATCTCCAGCAGCGAGAAAGTTTGTCCGTCAACTGGGAATGATCGCAGGTGGAACAGGTATGTAAACTCATGACAAGGTCAAAGCATTACTCAATGTCATTCCTGTCATGAGACAGGGTGGAAATCTTGTTTCAGGTTACACCTACTTGTTAGTTGTGACAGAAAAGGTCATGATTGTGAAATAGGAGAGCTTAAAGTAAACCTGTCAAGACAAAATTAGGAGTACTTCCACTGTTACGCCTTTTTAAAAAATGTTAGTTGCTTGAATGTCATTCTGCCCTACTACCTTTAACGGCTTCCGTACCGCCCTATAGCAGAAATACTGCTACAGGGCAGCACAGGTGCGCGAAATCACGTATATATACATGATGTTGCAGTTGCGGGTAGGGGGCAAGCGCGCGCACCCTACCTTTGCTGCCTTTCGTGGCCTTGGCTGTCAATCACTGGGTCCCAGACAGTGATTCCTTGCCGGCACCCTGCGATCTCCGAGTATTTCCGACGGGAGAGAGACCTGTATGTAAACAATACAGATCTCTCCCCTGTCATCTCCTGCCCACTGCTTTATATGGCTCTGCATAGCAGAGCCATTCAAAGCAGTGGGCTTACAGTGTAAAGCACACACACAGCCCACACAGTAAAACAGCACAGAGTCAACCCTTGGATCGCCCCAGATCAAGGGCGGACTGACCATTTGGAAACTCGGGCACTGCCCGAGGGCCCGGGGTCAGTAGGGGACCCATGAGATGCCCCTGGTACCTTTTTCATAAGTTTTTTTTATTTTGGGCAAGGACACAGGGGCCCCATGATCCCCTATTTCCCAGGGGCCACATGAGTTGTCAGTCCGCCCCTGCCCCAGATCTTAACAACTTCCTGCCCAGTGCCATTAGTACAGTGTCAGTGCTTTTTATTAGCACTGATCACTGCATTGGTGTCACTGGGGATGTCAGTGACACCAAGTCAGTCCCCCCCCCCCCCCCCCCCCCAGTGTCAGAATGACAGCCGAAGTTCCGTTATAAGTTGCTGACTGTCACCATTACTAGTAAAAAAAAAAAATTCCAGTATATATACCGCCAATTGTAAACGCTATAACTTTCACGCAAACCAATTAATAAACACATATTGGTATTTTTTTTAGCAAAGGCATGTAGCAGAATATATTTTGTCCTAAATTGTGTTATAATTTTATTTTTTTTATTATTTTTTTAATAAAAGGAAATTTTTTTTTATATTTTTTTTCTGGACATGTTTAATAGCAAAAAGTCAAAAAATAGTTTTTTTTCTTCAAAACTCTTGGTATTTTTTTTTTTTTAGCGCAAAAAAATTAAAAACACACAAGCGATCAAATACCACTGAAAGAAAGCTCTAATTGTGGGAAAAAAAGAACGTAAATTTCATTTGGGTGCAGCATTGCATGATCGCGCAATTGTCAGTTAAAGTAACGCAGCACCATAACACAAAAAATGGCCTGGTCAGGAAGGGGGTAAACCCTTTGGAGGGCAACTGGTTAAGCTGAACTCCATGCAAATAGCAAATAAAGTTTTAAATACATACATGTGCAAAAAAATGTTTCTATAACCCAGCAGCTAACACAAAATCCTAATATTGGAATTGATTAAATTTAACCATAAAACAGTGTAGCGCTCAAAAAAGTGAATACCCAACTCATACCACATAAGAATGCGAATAAACAAAACATGTGTCTCACTAAAAATCAACAAGATGAACAATTCATACATGTAAATCATTCATGCTCATAAATAAGTAAATATAAAAATATAAGTATTTCATGCTCATAATTACCGTAAATAAATAAAATGTTAATCTATGAAAGTCCCGTTTCCATGTGAAAGTCTTCTACAGAATAACTGGATACTCTTCAAGTGGTGGAATGATGTAACCATGTTGTCAACACATCAACGTATCTCCATGAATATTGGGACCACACTCAGGGACAAAGAAAAGAAATGATAGTGCAGCACGTTTAAAACAAATATCATTTAATAAAAACTCATAGCACTCACAAGTAAGGTGTCCAGACTGACACCAGTATATACAGCATAGGCAATGGACGAGCCCCGCTCACCGCGGATCACCATCGACAGTCGCAGGGAGCATCCTGACGTCAACATCCAATAGGCCCGACCCTTCGCGTTTCGTCACCACGACGTCCTCACGGAGCAGTACCGCTGCTGTATATACTGGTGTCAGTCTGGACACCTTACTTGTGAGTGCTATGAGTTTTTATTAAATGATATTTGTTTTAAACATGCTGCACCATCATTTCTTTTCTTTGCCCCTGAGTGTGGTCCCAATATTCACAGAGATACGTTGATATATGAAAAGGCTCATCCTTGATAGATTGGCTGCAGAGTATTGCTCCTTATATCTGGAGATTGCCTACCAGTGCAGAGTATTGCTTCTTAGAACCTGGAAACTTGCTTACCACTGCAGAGCATTGCACCTAGAGTCTGGATACTGCTACATTCATCTCTCCCAGAGCAATAGCGCTTATGCTGGTCTATAACCTGATCAGCATTGAGCTCTGGTGAGTTTATCCAATTTATTTGGTGGTGGATTGATCACAGATGACTTTTAACAATAATTATAATTTTCACAAGATGACTTTTTGATATATTTATGGTGTTTGGACTTTCACATATTTAATTATGGACACTTTATTTTGTTGTTGTATTTAAATTATTTAGCGCATTCCTACATTCTTTTAATTTCTATGCCAAAATATTTTTTGGTTTTGGGAGTTGAGGCTATATTTGTTTATTTATATATGGTCAAAGGTTGTGGCGATTTTCTAAGATTATTCTATTGTCAGTCACAGCTCCATCAGATATGACTCCTTAAATCTCGGCGTGGTTCGTAGATGACACCCACTCTCGATATATCAGACATCCAATTGTAACATATGGGAAGGAAAAAAGCTATCCATAGCGTAAAACCATAACTAAAAGCTTTTATGAAAACAAAATTGCACTTACAAGATACCAAGTATAAAACAGTGCTGTACAAACAAACTCCAGGTCAATCCCCACATCAAAGATGGCTGTGAGGATGCACACATATGTGGTGATGTACACCCTGGCTCCTCCCAGCGCGTTTCAGCAGAAGTGGATCAAGCAATATAGCTAGACCACCTCTTTTTTCTGAGCATGTGACTAAACATCAAAGCATCAGAACCAGATCAATGTGCTCATCCCTCTGCTCCTGTCAGCATGTTCATTGTAAGAACATGAGTAGTGCTTTGTTGGGATTTCAAGAGGCTAATTTCAAGTCAAATTAATTTTACACTAGATTAATTTAAAATACATTTATTCATTTTTAATGAACACGCAACTGCTTTACCTTTTTTCATATCTCCCTGGTGTTCAGATTCAATACCATTGCTAACCAAGAACAAGTATGTAGAGCTTGAAAGTCAGAGAAAAGTCCCTATTTATTACTCATTCCAAATCAATGAAATAAAATATAAGAAACAGAAGGTCAGCATGAGAACCAGACCAGTGTTAGCTTGAGAGCCAAGAAAGTAAAAACTTAGGAAGAACAGTTTGGCAAAGGAATTCACTATGTTTTTACCAAGACAGGTTCTCTTTAATTGTGGCAGTGAATGGATTGGGGTGTTACTCCAGGAAGTACAAAAGAGTGATTTGTTCTAGTAGGCACATAGAACTTTGTGTTGTGCTAGGTGCAATTTTAATAAATGGCCAATAGGTGGCAGTAACGGATAATATAGTAAAACAAGCACAAGTGAGCTGTTCATTGAGCACTAGAACATCAATTTGATCATTAGAATTGCACATGAATCTGAACATTACACATGTTGTAGCAATTTATGAATACAATAAACTTTAGCGATTGCAGCTTCCTAAGGGTCCTTTCATACGGGCGTTCGTTTTTTTCATCACCTCAGTCATGTTTTTTCAAAGAAAAAAACAGGTGGGTTTGCATCCTTTTTTTTCATCCACTTACATTAGATTTTTCATCTGTTTTTAGTCATCAGCTGTCAGTGGGGTTCCCCACTGACAGCTGAATGTAAAAAAAAAAAATTGCTGGCAATTAAAAAATAATTTAAAAAATGCTGTGGGGTCCTCCCCTTCATTCATACCAAGCCCTTCGGATCCGGTTTGGATTTTGAGGGGAACCCCCACATCAACATATTTTAAAAAATAGTGTGGGGGGGCCTCCATCCATACCAGATGTTTATCCGAGCATGCAGCCCGGCAGGTCAGGAAAGGAGGGGGATGAGTGAGCACCCCCCCTTACCCTCCTGAACCATAACAGGCCACATGCCCTTAACTTGGAGGGGTGCTTTGGGACAGGGTCTCCCCCCAAAGCATCTTGTCCCAATGTTGATGGGGACAAGGGCCTCTTCCACACAACCATGGGCTGTGATTCTGGGGGTCTGCGGGCAGGGGGCTTATTGGAATCTGGAAGCCCCCTTTAGCAAGGGGGCCCCCAGATCCTGGTCACCCCCTATGTGAATGAGTATGGGGTACATGGTACCACTACTCATTCATAAAAAAGAAGTGTAGTGTGAAAAAAAACAGGAGACAGTCTTTAAAAAGTCCTTTATTAAAAGAAGAAAAATAAAAGAATGTCCCCCGAAGTAGATCCAACATTAATCATGCTGCCCGCCGCTGCGGCCCAAAAAAAAGAAAAAAAAACAACAAAGGCTACGCTCCCGACGCTGGCTCCAGGCCGTCTGACTGCTCCACTGGCTTGACAGTTCTTAAATATGTAAAACATAAGAAATTAACAGGCCAAATACCTCTTTTATCTCTGTGGTGCAGATGTACATATAAGTATGGTACTGACACAACTTCACACCTTCCAACTTTGGAACTTGAGAAAAGGAATATTTTGAGATGAAGAGATGTGGCGCGCTCTGTGCTAAAAATCAGTGTGGCTAAATTGTGCTGAAAAAAAAAATATATATGCATAGATAGTTTGCATTTTAAGCCTACTGTAAAGAACTTACTTAGTTGCAAACTAGATTGAGATGAAAAAAAACACTTCAGTCAGGATTTTGCAATATACAACATAAC